TGGATACCCTGTTTTATGATTGGCCTTCAGGACTTGTTTTTTTTTTTAAAATGCCAGCAGGATGCTTCTGAATTATGGCAACGTAATAAAGCCGGCGGTGGTAAGATCAAATCCACGCGACACAGGGAGCTCACATTGCTCGTCCCAGCTCCTGCCAACCCAGCTGTTCGAAAGCATGTAAAAACGCGAGTCGATAAATAGGGACCACCTCGGTGGGAAGGTAACGGCGTTCTGTCTAGTCGCGCTGGCCATGTGACCATAGGAAACTGTCTACGGACAAACGCTGGCTCTACGGCTTGAAGACGGGAATGAGCACCATGCCCTAAAGTCAGACACAAGTGGACTAAATGTCAAGGGGAACCTTTACCTTTAATAAAGTTTTGGGGGTATGGAAGATGTTCAAGGAGTGGTATGTTGCTTGCTCCCCTCCCCTCTCTCTCAAATTTCCATCAGGAGGGATGGTGCCTAGTGAAGCTCTGAGGGAAGCTTATTCCACAGAGTCGGGGCCACCACCAAGACGGCCCAACTTCTCATTGTTGTCTTTTTGGCCTCTCTCAGCGTGGACCCCCTTAATACTGTAGCTTGGGAGGGGTTTGTGAAATGATAGCTGTTTTTTGGGGGAGATGTTTTGACAGGCAAACCATTAGGATTGGGATTTAGAACCCAGGCCTCACGCTCTAACCACACATGCCACATTGGCTTCATTTACAAACCTGATTGCTCAGCCATGATGCTTTGAAGGAAATGTGTGCCAGAAGGGAAAACATTAGACATTCGTTTGTACAAGACGGCTGCTTCTGGCCACCATCCTTTGGGCCATCAGGAAATGCAGCAAATGGTTAAGTCATTTCATTTTTACACTCTTTTATCAGGGAAGGGTGCATGGGGAGCTTTTCATCCGAGATGTGAAGGAAATATCTTGGCCTGTCTCCTTGTGAAGTGGCCACCTTGCTTTCCTACCGAGTCTCCCTGTTTTGCATAGCCTTCCTGGGGAGGACCAGCTGGAGGTCATCCACCCGCTCAGGAGGTGTGCGTTGATGCTGTCCTTGCAGTCAACACCAATGATTTGGCCGTAGTCTGGACGGCAGTAGAAGCACTTCATAGACAAGCTTGGCAACTATGATTTTCCAGACACTGAATCCTTCTGCAGCCTCTTTGACCAATCGGGATTGGTACGGTAGGGAAGCTCTTGTGTAAAAACAAAACAAAAAAAGCACACCGCGCACACAACAAAACCACAGAGTTTGCAGAGTCTGGCCATTTACTGTTCTTTTCCTGGCTGGGAGGATATTATCTCCATTTGCACCATATGTCTGTTCATCTCAGCCAGACGTTTGCTCCAAATTTACACCGCTGCAGATTCTCAATGCCAAACTGCCCGCTGGTGGCTCTGTTCTCACTTGCTCTTAATGACATTAGCTTCCAAGGGGTGGGAGAGGAAATGAGTCAGAGATGTTCACTTGAGACATATTTCCTCTTGTGTGCCTTTCCAAAGCCTCCCATTTCCTCTCATACAGAGACACTTCAACCGGCAATGGAAGAGGCAGACAAATTTTTGTTTCAAATGCAGCTTGCTCCTTCCATTTTTCTGGAAATGTACAGGCGCTCTGAATTGCTGGTATGGCTAGCGAGAGAGATGTGTACCAAAAGAAAGATGGTAGTCTACTAATATTTGGAGAGACGTTAACATGTTTTCAAAGAGATGGCCATGTTAACCTCTGCAAGCACAAAAATAAACGTCTGGTGGCATCTTTAAGACTGATCATTTTATTTCGATACGAGGTGTCGGGTTTCACGATCCACCTTTCGGGACACGTGTTTTTTAGAGTGACGAGGACAGCATCGTAAGAACCTTGTCGTCGTCATCATCATCTTTGTCTTAGAACTGCAGAAATGGAAGGGACCTTATGGAACATCATGTCCAGGCATTGTCAAGAAGGCACCGTGAGGAATCGAACTCCCAACCGGAGACCTAAACCACTGAGCTATCCAGCAGCTCAGCTGAAAGCCATGCTGCTCAAAATCTAGTCTAAGATCTTATTCCCACGGTTGGCATGGGTAGGTTCCCCCTGGCACAGGAATCTCACAGGAACAGAGGGAGACTTCCCCACAGGGAGACCTACAAGTAGGGTATAAGTAGAACAGCACCCTTTTGACAGTGGGTGAATCCGATTCCAGGGGTACCGTGAATCCATTCCATGTTTTGTTTTGCACTACACAGGAGGTATCAGAACGGCTGAGCCTGCTTTGGAAAGAGGATTCAGTACCATTGACAGCTCCTGTAAGCGGCAGGCTAAACCCCCGGGGTGGAGTCACACTGCCTTTCCGAAAGAGAAGTCACTCAATGCCACAGATGCTGTTGCTTCTGCCTCCACATGCAGCCATTATGACCAGTAGCCACAAACAGTCCCATTCTGCATTGGTTTGTGCCTTCCCTTTTAAAAGGCCACCTGAGTTGGTGGCCATTCCCGCAACCTGTGGAACCAGACGCTTCTGGAAAAGTTATGCTGGGCCACCATAGAAACCTTGGCCTATATATCCCATAGGTGATATATGATATATTTGGAAAAGATATCAAACTTAATTCTAAAATTGCTTTGCTGTCCATTTTTGATAAGATAGAACTTGATTGTTGCTCCAAGGAATTGATTTCTAATCGTATGACAAGTGCTAGAATATTAATAGCTAGATTCTGGAAAGATAAAAATGATATTAAATTAGAAAATTGGTCTAAGGAAGTACGGGACATTGCGTTCAATGATAAATTGAGTACTGAACTTCAGACGAAAAGAGGGGAAATAAGTTTAAAATTGTTATGCTATTTATTGAATTTGTATTAGTGAAAGGAAAGGGGAAAGCCTCTAAGCAACAATCAATGCAATTTTGGAAAGGAGGTTCGTAATAAAAGTATTGCTCCAAAGACTCCCGTGGGTATGGGGGTGCCCTGTGTTTTAGATTGTATTAGTAAGTATTTTGTATTCTTGTATTTGTTTTGGAATTTTTTTAAAAAAAGAAAGAAACCTTGGCCTTAAATTTGGAGAGAGGTAACTGTACACATGTGCCTCTTCAAAATCAATAAAGGCAAGTTAATAACTAACGTTTTGCCCCACACATTTCTGCAGGAGGTCAGCTAAAGCACCTTTCTTTGGCTTGAAGCCAGTATGATGCAAGGCAAGTCCACTGTCTGGGTTTCATGAAAGAATGAGGTAGAACTATGGAACTCACCTCCACCGGAAGTATTATAGAGAGCTAGTAGGTGAAAGACAGAATCAAAACTAACTCAATAGATTTCAGCTGAGATCAATGTAAAACTCTGCACGCATAACAGATGCTATCTAGTCCAGCGGTTCTCAACTTTGGGTAACCCAAGTGTTCTTGGACTGCAACTCCCAGAAACCGCAACCAACAGGTGGTGACGGCTTTGGAAATTGCAGTCCAGGAAATCTGGGTTACCCCAGGTTGGGAATCACCGACCCAGTTGAAAGCAGTACCTCAAATGGATGTCGGGCTCTAGCAAACCACAGACTCAACATGCTTTAGCAAAGGTTTCCAGCCTTGAGTAACCCAGATGTTCTTGGGCTACAACTTCCAGAAATCCTGGCCAAGCACAACTAGTGTAGAAGGTTTCTGGGAGTTTTAGTCTGAGAATATCTGGGGGCTGAAGGTTGAGAGCCACTGCTCTAGAGCCTGCATCAACAGAAGCTGAAAGTCCAGATCATGAGAACTAAAGGTACTGCTCTAATGTATTCTCGAAAGCTTTCACGGCCAAGATCCAATGGCGGTCGTAAATTTTTCGAGCTGTTTGGCCATGTTCTGAAGGTTTTTCTTCCTAACGTTTCGCCAGTCTCTGTGGCCGGCATCTTCAGAGGACAGAACTCTGTCTGTGTTCTGGTGTAGTGTGTGGGATAGTTGCGTATTTGTAGCTGTGGGATCAGCTTTTTGTCCTTCTCAGGAGACTGGGTGATGGTGGTGATCGGGGTGTTTTTTTGTTATGGGTGTATTGTTGTGATAACCATGGCACTGCTCTAAGTCTGCTTTCAACATTACTGTTGGTTTTTACTTTGTTATATTATTTTTTATTCCATTTTTTAATTGTTAGCCACCCAGAGTACACTTCAGGGGCGGGGTATAAATCTAATAAATAAATAAAATAAATAGACTTCACCTACAACACCGGACAACACACTCTGAAAGGGACAACAGCTTGACAAAGATGGTGAGGAAGAAGGCTGGAGACCAGCTGAGATCAACCAAGGACCCTGGTGCATCTATCCTGTCAAAAGGTGGCAGGACAGTCTTTCCAGATGTTTGAACGATGGCCGAAGCCAAACCTCGGAAGGGCCCTCCCAACAATCAATTCTTGATTTGTCTTTCTAGGCAGTGGAGCCAATTTGTGCCTTGTAGAACCGTGGTCCTCAACCTTGGGCTTCCAGATGTTCTTGGACTACAACTCCCAGAAGCCTTCACCACCACCTCCCCTGGCCAGGATTTCTGGGAGTGGCAGTCCAAGAACATCTGGAGGCCCAAGGTTGGGGGACCACTGCTGTAGAACAAACAGGTCCGACTCACAGGAAAGGATGCTTCCAAGCCTTTATTTGTTAACACCCCCCCCAGAAGGGTGCTCCTGCACTATTAATAGGACGGTATATAAATAAAAGAAAGCAAGTAAGCAAATAAACATTAAAGAGGAGCTTTTAAATTTCCTGGGGATGCTTTGGGATTCGGTAGAGGGTGGTTGGATGAGGGCTTTCGAGCAGAAACTGAACCAAAGGGCTATCTGTCTGTCTTAGATCTCCTCTCCAGGCAGAGGGTGGACAAGCGGACTTTCCGACTTTCCACCTCACCGATTCTCCTTGCCGGAAGAAGTTTCATCCTGATCGTTGCTGAGCAGCCGAGCCCCGGAAAAAACCAAGCAAGGTTTCAAACTCTGGACAAGAACAAAGGAGTTTGTTTCAGCCCCTCTAGAACTTCCATGCTCTTCTCCAACCCGAGACGTAGACATGTTCGAGTATAAGCCGAGTGCACCGGTCACCATCATTCAGGTAGCCTGCGCCAGGGTGGGGAGGCTCCACCAGAAGCCACGGGGGGACGCGCCCCCTTCCCCGGGGCCACCCATAGGCTCCCCCGCCGGGGGAGTGGTGCCA